AAAAAAGTGAGGCATGACCGTCTGTCACCGTTCTTTTTTATACCATCATCGCACTCCTGAAACGATCTATTTCCAGAACATTTTCGTATTCTTCATGGCAGATGAGGGTGACCGGGTTCTCGAGAGCTTGTCCAAACTGGATTTCCAAACCCAACTTGCCAGTGTGTCGAGGATAGTTGATGCCTTCATCAGTGCCAAGGTCTGGGGTGAGATCCACCACCTACAAGGTGTAACCTTGAGCCAAGACCTTGGGAGTCAGCTCGCAGGTCTCAGGCCACCACAGCTGCCCCGTGTTTCAGAACAGATTCATGTAGACTTGTTTCAAATGGGCGGTGTTGTTGCTGAAGTCGCTTTTCATTTCCGTGTGAAAGTCTCTATCGCCTCTCGGTATGGCATAGGCGGTCACTTGCACACGGGAAAGGGGATACTTGGCAGTTACCCCAGCATTCAGACTGGACACGTGAGTTTCTCGGACAGCAGGATCGATGTTGAGTTGATGGACATAAAATTCGGCTTTGGTCAGGGCTAGTTTGTAGACACCATCACCAGCACACATGAAGAAGAACTCATCGGGACTTCGCAGCAATTCCAGTTTCATTGGGATGCCATCCAGCAGATAATGGTCTTGAAGAAACAGGTCACAGTGTAGACGTCTTGTCAGTTCCACTTTTTTAGTGGGCATGATGAGATCACACCGCGTACTGACGCCAGTGTTTCTTGCATTCACATCTGCATCAGGATTGAGATGAGGTGAGGTGAAATGGGGTTTAACGTCACATCCAAGATTATTGCACTTAAATAGTGACGTGCATGTACGTGTGTGTGTTTGTGTGGCTGCTTGTACTAGTCCGGACTGATGCCGATTAATAGTGCTAGCTCACTGAGATACCATGCAGCAGTTTAACATGAATACCCAACTCAGACACAGTATACTGACTCTGAGACAATCGCAAAACAGGGAATGCATCAAGTTGTTGACTGTTGATACGTGGTTATCCGCCAGCGTGGTATCTGTGCCATCTTCTTTCGTCACGCGTAGACATACTCTCAGGTAGCACTGTTTCAAATCAATGTAAGCATTCACGGGATTGGAAATGTTAAACATGGTCCTGCCACAGAGGATGGCGCCAAGGGACTATAGCGAATCCACTGACCCTCTTGCACCGAGGTGGACACCGGGGGTACGGTAAAGAGATCCAACTTTGAACATTAGCAAGCATCTGGGCACATCATGATGGATGGATGGATGGATGGATGGATGGATCTTCCTCCCCCTCTCTCTCTGCCTTGAAGGACGTCTGGTCAGGTTGAAAGTCTGATGAGGATTGACCTTTAAACCCTTCTTCTTTTCCTTTTACAATGTTTCTGGAGGGGGGTGGGCTGCTGTTCCATGATGTTTCAGACTCTCTGACCATTTGCGTTTGCCAGCAACCATATCACTCACCAAACCGGATTTGATCTTTTTACCCATCTTGAGCACTGATGTTCCAGCAGATTTAAGGAAAGGCAACGCCATCTTCAAGATACCTCCGAGGCCACTGCCATGTTGATGATACCATCCTTTGTATACTTTGATTCCACTCCAACGCTGACTGAACTGTCCCGATCCATCTGGTGTGCCAGAGTTATCAACGACATCTGAAGTGAAGTGTCATGATGGCTTTCCCCATCGTCCCTTGTCGTCCATGATATAGAGTTTAATATCGTCAAAGGAACCATGCAACAGTCAGAGGTAGCGAATGTGCAGAGGGCTTTTAATCACCACACTGTCTTGTATCATCTTCTTTGACACAGGCACGTGGATCAGCAATGGCGCCATCGTATTGCCCACAATTTGATCTTCGACCAGGTTGGTGTAAATGTACATGGTATCAAATCCTGACAGACGATGCGCTTTTGTATCACCTGTGATTTCCACATAGCCACCTGTCATGGGAGTAGCCCCCTCTTGCCACTGGGCCAAGGCACTCAAGGGAACAGGCGTCTCAGTGTAGGTTTGATAGTCTTCCTCACCGAGGAGCGGTAGTTGAACAAATCCGAGCATTCTCGAGAGTGGACTTGGCATGATCACTTCCGTGGAATAGAGCAGTCCACCAATATTTCCCATGATAGGATGATTGATTGCTACTTCTTCAGGGGCTTGGAATCGCAGCTTTCCATCTCCAAGCATCTTTCCATCTCCCATCAATGACAAACCGTTTGCCATCACTTTTGACTAGGGCTGAGGGCTGTTCTTTCAAGACACCTGTAATATGTTCCTGAATCAAACGGTTGAGGGTTTTCACCGAATCTCCAGATGAATAGATGCCTTTCCCTATAGGAATCTTCTTGCTTTCGTAATGGGCTACACCATACTGTGGCTGGGGTATAGCGCTCTCCGTGCTTTCATACATAAGGGTGTCTTTTATCAGTTTGAGGTTCAGCGCAAACCAGTCAACAGGTGGGGAGACGTTGTACCATGTCATCGGAAAGTGAATTTCGCTGACAGCCACCTCCAACTGTTGGCAGTCCAGATGCAGAGGATAAGGCAACTTGATTTTATATGCATTGACGGTGTTGTTTGGATAGATGTCCATGGAGGCATCGCTGGGCAGGGTCATGTAAAAGTCTTGTTTTGCAAAAAGGTGGCAGCCATGACGTTGTGAGCTAGGGTAAAAAAACTCTGGGTAGATGAGGTATCAGGTTGAAGTCTTCTGGCAGTTGTCGTGGGGATGTTTGGTGAGACGGTCAAGGTGGGTGGTGGAAGTATGTATCCCAAGCAACTGGAGAACAGGGCTGTCCACAACTGTTTCTCTCCGTAATCCAATGCCAACTGAACCATGCTCATGATGATCACGCCATATATCACCATGATCTGAGCAAAAAGCATGACTTCACTGTGAGGTAACGTCATGCCAAAACAACACCAAGGGGAGTGTCGACGCTGGGGATGTTGTGGTGCAGCAGCAGCAAGGGGAGGTTCAGTGGTACACACGGATGCAGAGAAGCTTCTCTGCAGTGGCGGCGGTGGTGGTGGTGGTGGAGGTTCTGTCATTGCGTGTGTCCACCCTCTGAATGAGCCCGAGTGACAGCAGGCTCCTTATTTATATCTATAAATGATCTTCAGGGATCGACGAATTAAAACTGGCAGGATAGCCGGACCATGTCACCAAGACCTCTTTTTGACTCTGTTTCGGTTCTGAACGTCTTTTCAGCACACGATCCACGGCATACACATTGTCTGTTTTCAAGATGGGCTGTATTTCTTCAGGGTAAAAGGTTCCTTTGAGGACTTCACCATGATCATCTTTGATCTGATACACGGGAGGTCTTCTCCCTGTCACCGTAAACAGTTCCGTGGTCCAGTTGGGGAGATAGCCTTTCTCAAAGGTGCCTTTGGTTTTGTTCAGACGTACACGGGTGCACAGCGCTGCTGCCGTCGTCGTTGTCGTTGTTTCTGCATGTAGTCTAACACCCGGATTTCTGACAGGGGATCTCCTGGGAGGACGTCCTCAGGTCGCTGACCGATTGTCCTATGCACACGACGGTTGTATGACTTGACCAACTGGGGTAAGACTTTCACAAAGTGTCAGGTACCATACTGAGTAAAGTATCGCCCCATATATTTTTCAGCGTGTGTTGAAACCGTCCCACCATGGCTGCTTTCGTTTCAGGATTTTGACTGGTGTAGAAATGAATGCTGTGCTTCGTCATGAGAGCCTTAAAGGGTGGTTGACAAATTCTCTGCCTTTGTCTGTTTGCAAATTGAGCAGGGAGTGGTCCTTTGGCTTGTTACATCAGCAAGGTTTGAAAACCTTTGGTCAAAGCATATTGCTCGACTTGTTCAGGGTTCTCTTCAACAAAACAACGTGAATGTCATCCCCTGGCCGGCTCGCTCCCCTGACCTCTCACCAATCGAGCACATGTGGGATGAGATGGATCGACGTCAACCACGTGTTCCACAGACACTCCAGGAACTTCGAAACATGCTCCAGCAGATATGGACAAATATCCCACAGGACTTTGTTCGACACCTGGTCCATTCCATGAGACGAAGATGTGTCGCAACCAGAGGTGGACACACATGCTATTGATTTGTAAATTGACATTTTGGCATGTTCCTGGGTTTTTTTATGAAATCACGCATTTTCTGAAGTCAGTATGGCAAATTAAACCATTTGAACACTTACAGGAGTCTTTTATCTGTTGCAAACCGAAATTGTTTCAGATTAGGTAAAAACATAACTTTGCATTAAATCTTATTCAATGTCACAGGAACTTTTGTAGTTCAGTGTATAATATCAAGTATTAATAATATTTATAGTATGCATAGCTTATTAATTTGGACAAGCCGTGAATCTAAATGTAGTTTATGCATGGTGAGTTGATACTATGTGATGTTTTTGTTTTATTTAATCTATTAGATATTTTCATTGTATTTTTATGCATATTTGCAGAGTTAGAACCAACTAGCGTATGTGCATTGCACATGAAATAAAGTCCAGTTGTCAGTTCACACCCCAGTAGCCTTTTCTGTGTTTTGCTGCCCTAACCGGAGCCTTGCCCACTACTACACCATAAAAAAAGCGGTGAGAAAGGCTGACTGCTGGAGTTCTACTATTTCATTGCAATACCTCTTCTCAGTCCTCTCAATTTGCAAAGGCTGCTGTGCGACAGTGTTGGTTCGAAAAGCTTCCTCACCCTTCATACTTGCCAGACTTGGCACCAAGTGATTTCCTAAACTGAAAGAACGCCTTTGTGAAAAGGGCTATGACCTCAAAGCTGCAGTAGAGGGTATTTCAGGATGGGTTAAGAAAACGTCTTCCTGACTGGAATTGAAAAGCTTCACTATCGATATGAGAAGTATATTAAAAAGTAGCGAGCTTATGTTGAAAAATAGATTTAAAAACATGTTATCAATGAGGAAGTCCAGGATTACACATATCAACCACCCCTCGTATCTCTGGGGGTGGACCTACTTTTGTCTGTAGTTTTCCTGGTTGGTTGGGCTTGTAATAAACAAGCAAACACACATTTCCTACCAAGAGGCTTGCAACGAGCCGGGTCTCACGTTCGACGCTACTGTAGTCATTTCGTGACATCTCATCAGTTTAGCACGATACATCACTTCAGTAATTCGTAAGTAACTATAACTGTCAAGTTTACACATGTAACGTCTTATTTCTTATGCCCGTTCACATGTCATCCAAGATCGATGTAGGCATTTATAAACATGCAGGTACATCGACTCATAGCAGGCTATTCAACTAAGACGCCGGCATTCACGGTGCATGGATGCATTCCTTAGGCATACACGAAAACTGGCCATGGGTTCGATTCCCAGACTCTGTCTCTTAAATGACAACATTTTAAAAGAAATAGTATTATTTGATAAATTTTGAATTGTTTTAGTTTTAGAATAGTGGGGTATTATTGTCAACTGAGATTAATGAAGGCGGTGCCACTCAGTAGTGTAAAATTATTGTCCCCCTGACAGTGGCACGTGAGTTCATCTATATACTGCTCACAAAAAGTAGGGGATATTGAAATTAAAATCAGTGGCACAAAGACAGATATATAGAGGCCTACAAATAATTTATGTATGATTGAGGAAAAGCATAGGTCCATCTGAGCATGCCTCACAATGACAACCAGATGCCCTTGCATCCAGGAGAATTGCACCCAGACGTACCAGGGGGTGGGGATGAGAAATCACATCTTGTGTCACACATGCAAATGACAAAATCCACGTGCCTCACGTGCAAAAAATGGGTGTTTACATAAGTCTTGGACCAAGTTCATCCATCACTTCACCACTTTCCACAATGCAAAGGTTACGAGAAGACGAAAGGTTGAGAGCAATTGGGATGACCCAGGCCGGAAGAACGCAGGCGTACACAGCAGCACAACTGCATGTCTCACAGTCAGTAGTCAGCCGGTTGTGGGCATGTTACATTGCCACTGGAAGGGTTCAAGACAGATCCTGAAGTGGTCGTCCAAAATGCACGAACAGACGTGTGACCGGCGGATCATCACTGGAGCCCTACGTGATCGACGTTTAAATGCGACACAGCTGCATCTCATCTCCACACAAACGGTACGAAACTGGCTCCATGCTTCAGAACTTCGAGCAAGGCGACCTTACATCACATTACCCCTAACAAACCGTCACAGACAAACCGGCGAGAGTGGGGTCGTCGTCACAAGAGGTGGAGCAATGCCCGGTGGTCCCATGTGATGTTCAGTGATGAGTCGAGGTTCTCTTTAGACTTGAATGATGGCCGTCGTCGTGCCTGGCGTCGTCCTGGTGAGCGTCATCAGCCAGCTGCCATGATTCCACATGATCGGTATGGGAGGGGTTCTGTTATGGTGTGGGTAGGAATAACGGTGACAGCCAGAACCGATCTCCACATCTGCCAAGGAAGAGTTACGGGTGTTTACTATCGGGACAACATCATCACGCCACATGTCCTGCCATTTGCACACCGTCACTGACAGGGTTTCATCTTCAAGGACGATAATGTCAGGGCTCACCGTGCGCACGTCGTCCTTAACCATTTGCGGCGGCACCAAATTGAAACTCTTCCATGGCCAGCGATGTCCCCCAACCTCTCCCCTATAGAGCATGTGTGGGATATGCTCGGAAGACGAGTGCAGAGGCGGCATCCCCCATGTCAAGACTTGCAACAACTGGGCATGGCACTCCAAGAGGAATGGCAGAGGATTCCCCAAGTTGACATTGGTCGCATCATTAGGAGTATGAGACGTGGGTGTAATGCTTGTTTGGCTGCTAATGGTGGGCCAACCCGGTAATAAACCATTTATGACTTTTGGGTTTCGAACCCCTCATGAACTTTCCAGCGTCTACAAAATGAATTTGCAGCTTGATCAAAGTCATAACTTTCAAACCTGTTTCTTAACATCCTCATTTCCACATTATTATTGTTACCCAATGAAAATTAAACATAATTCTGAAGCTTTTCGTTGTAACTTTTCAATATCCCCTACTTTGTGTGAGCAGTATATATTGACGTAATTAATATCAACTAGTGTTTTAACTCCTTAATTGTGTTTTGATTTTTAATTTTGTTTAATACTTCGTACAACCACTCGTGACCAAAGTTATGGCATAAATCCTGCTGGGAATCATGCACGAAGCAAAAGCACTGTAAGTCCCCATGATCACCAGTAAGGTGGTCTAGCTTTGGTTGCCAGTGCTCTATAGCCTGGTTTTACTTTCTATTTGACAAATTGACTGAGAACTTATTTGTTTTAATATTGCTCAGGTTTGCTTCATGTCTACACTGTGATATTAACCTTACCGTTTTACTGTCCTTTGACGACAGGAATTGTATAATAATAAACTTGTTCTCATCGCGATGTGGCTGCAATATTGCCGATGCGATGTAAAACTATAAGTCTCACTCACCAAAGATAACCCAAACGTCCAGTGAGCAAACACAAGAACACCATCCAGATCTACATGTCCAGCCTCCTTTGAGCGTGACCAAAAACAAGAACACCATCCAGATCTACATGTCCAGCCTCCTTTGAGCGTGACCAAAAACAAGAACACCATCCAGATCTACATGTCCAGCCTCCTTTGAGCGTGACCAAAAACAAGAACACCATCCAGATCTACATGTCCAGCCTCCTTTGAGCGTGACCAAAAACAAGAACACCATCCAGATCTACATGTCCAGCCTCCTTTGAGCGTGACCAAAAACAAGAACACCATCCAGATCTACATGTCCAGCCTCCTTTGAGCGTGACCAAAAACAAGAACACCATCCAGATCTACATGTCCAACCTCCTTTGAGCGTGACCAAAAACAAGAACACCATCCAGATCTACATGTCCAGCCTCCTTTGAGCGTGACCAAAAACAAGAACACCATCCAGATCTACGTGTCCAGGCTCCTTTGAGCGTGACCAAAAACAAGAACACCATCCAGATCTACATGTCCAGCCTCCTTTGAGCGTGACCAAATACAAGAACACCATCCAGATCTACATGTCCAGCCTCCTTTGAGCGTGACCTAGCGTGACCTGGCGTCTTTGTTTTTTTCCGATTGTCTGATTTGTAATTTATGTCTTATAAATGTTTATCACCTGTACTTTTGGTAAATGCAGTTTGATGTCAGTTGAGTAATCTTACTTTCACGTAACGTTATCTCACTAGTCTGCTGTTAATTTGTTCTCTACGTGAGTGAAGGGTGAAAAGGAGGATGTCAGGTTCAGAGATTGTTCCTAGGTGACGTCCGCCATGATACAGTTCGAACGTTGAAAACTTGTACAATTGTATTTTTCAAATGTGAGTTAATTATCATTTGACGAGCGTGACGTGTCGATTCCCTAATTGAAACAGTACCATAACCCAGAAATATGTACGTAAAAGAGCTTAGTGTGAAACCAACAACCAACCAACAAATGGACTACAATCAATAAATGTATTGCACACGTTTACAAATCAACAGAAATTACTGAACAGCAATTTCAATGGCAGTACACAATAGAGTGGTAGTACAATATTCAATGGCAGTACACAATAGAGTGGTAGTACAATATTCAATGGCAGAACACAAAAGAGTGGTAGTACAATATTCAATGGCAGTACACAATAGAGTGGTGGTACCATATTCAATGGCAGTACACAATAGAGTGGTAGTACCATATTCAATGGCAGTACACAATAGAGTGGTAGTACCATATTCAATGGCAGTACACAATAGAGTGGTGGTACCATATTCATTTGCCGTACAGTATAGAGTGGTGGTACAATATTCAATGGCAGTACACAATAGAGTGGTAGTACAATATAAAGCAGATATAAATAACAACAAAGACAATAGGAATGGAACAAAATAAGAACATATATAATGAGATGCTGATATATTTCTACAGAACTGAGATGAAATATTTTCTTGCCAATGTCTGTAACAACCGGGTACGTGGCGAGAACACAATCTGTTTGTGACTAAGACATTTTTAGGAAACTCGTTTCTTCTATTTCAAATAGGACACACGAACGTGTTGTGTGTACTTCGCTTGCGACCACAGTCCCTATGTCTGTCTATTGTTGAGGCGATCAGCAAATATAGCTCCACTCTTTCCAAGAACTGTAAGCAAAAGTAAACTACAACTAGGTCACGTTAGGTCATTAATGTGAGTGGAGGAAGATAAACTTTTGATATTGCCAGGGAGCAACACAGTATACCGTTACCGCAGATAAACTTTAACCACTTGCAGAAATCTGCTACGTGTGTAGTGCAGGGAATACAGGGCAACTGTAATTATCGTGTTATGAACGAGCACACACAAAGTTAATAATCTGATTAATTACAACACCAAGAGATGAATATCCCTGTTGACATGAGTCTAATAAATAAAGTTATGTCCCTTTACCACCGTCCCATGCAGTTCTTGACGGCACACATATTGTTGAAGCTTATATCATTTCATTTACATATTTTTTAAGATAGAACCTGTATAAAAACTGTGCCATTGCTTACACAATGTTCAAACGTTTACTAGCACTTCAAACTTAAAATGTCTCAGTTAACGTTAACAGTAACGTAAATACAACCCGGGGGCGTTCCGGTATTGACACTCGCGTGTCAACTCTAACTTGGCACAGGTTGTTTACATAACATTATATGTATTGGAAATTGGAAATGCAGACATCAAACCGGCAAACAATTCTCTATCATTAAACTCACAACAGGGATGAAAATTACACGATTGGATCAGTGCTCAGCAGTGATCTGCTCGTAACTGCAATACTTGGGTCAACATAACCTAGGCTCGACTCAAACATCCCCTGGGTCTAACATTTAACATTGATTTATTTTCTGACAGAACTTCTTGAACTTGAAATTGAGGAGAAAAACAGAAACTTCAAGAGTACATCTCTGAGAATTGTTTTCAATTTCCCGGAAGCTTTCTGTTCCTAGCAGTAAAGGGGAAGATTCAGAACGAAATATGCATTGTATGAATGTTATGCTGGCATCAGGATAGGAATAATCGGTGTATGAATATAGCTATGAACTGGGTATTTTACTTTCATATGTGTATAGCATCGCTTATCTACTATAATTAAGGTGTACTGGGTAAAACATCAGTGCAACAGTGTTCACCAGTGTGCCATATCAATAAAGCCACACACACTAAACAGACAAGAAGCTGGACAACGTGAATTGAGTTCTATACTAAGAACATCCCTCGATTTCAGTGCAAAACATGAACATTTATTGAACTGGACAATCCCAATGCACCATTAAGAGGCGGATAAGTTGTGTTTGAAATAAAGATATTTTTACTTCTTTAAACAGCTACAGTGGGTTGGTGATCATACGCCATGTCTGCAAACTAAGAGGAAACAAGAAATACTACCATTGCTTCACCAAACCCACCAGAAAACACCAGGTAAACGTCGATTGCCATAATAGTACATGTGTTACATAAGAGTGGTGTTTATACCATTGGTGTTTGAGATACACTGACGTAACAATTGTGTGATGGTATATTTTATTATATACTATTAATCAAGTCCATGTGATATATGAGTCTTACATTTTTATATTAAAGGTCATTTTTTGCTCTTCTGTTTACACGAAGACTCTAAACATCGGTGACTATCCTCTTCATGTTGTTTAAGTCAAATAACATTCATGTCCTTAAATTATACTAAAATATATATTAAACCATAATAATTGTGAATATGAAGTAACAATGTGTTGGTAGGGTGTATTGGACATATCATTAGTAACGTGCATGTTATCTTGGCAACAGGATGTTTAGTACACAAATGGCTTCACCGCTCGCCTCAAACGTCACTGCATTGACACAACTGAACACATCTGCCCATGTATTGCATTGACCGCTACTTGGTAGTCATCCACAGTATGCAGTTATAAAACTGAAATTAGTGAAATGTGTGAGCATCTGTCCGCCCAGGAAGGTTTGATCATTCATCATGCACTACTGATTCGTTTAAAGTATAGTTTTCATATTTGAGACCCATGTTGCCTGTTGATGTGGTGGGACTAAATTAATTTGACACCGAAATCTCAGACAATGTCAGTACAAGTTGTTAGTACTTCCAACTTTAAATGTCTAAGCTTAACTGGTGATACAGTGACATTTCCATAACCATAACTTAATAATTAGTCCTAACGCCACAAACTTGACTAAGTCCTGATGTGTTCCGAGAATAGTCTCCTTATATGGAAAATTTTTTTCCAAAGAAATAGAAACTACAATCCACGCTCGCAAGCTGATATGTCACCTCGTTCTACAGTGGAAATAGCTGACGCTCCGAGTATCAACGCGACCCTGTTATCTGAAGCCATTTAGTTCAGAATTTACATCATGTATATCCACCATTACATCATGAACACCCACCAATGTAAACTGCACTCATAGTACCAGTGTAACCTGCACTCACAGAGCCAGTGTAACCTGCACTCATGGTGCCAGTGTAACCTGCACTCATAGTGCCAGTGTAACATGCTCTAATAGAGCCAGTTTAACATGCACTCATTGTGCCAGTGTAACCTGCACTCATAGTGTCAAGTAACCTGCACTCATAATGCCAGTGTAACCTGCACTCATAGTGCCAGTGTAACCTGCACTCATAGTACCAGTTTAACCTGCACTCTCAGTGCCAGTGTAACCTGCACTCATAGAGCCAGTGTAACCTGCACTCATAGTGTCAAGTAACCTGCACTCATAATGCCAGTGTAACCTGCACTCATAGTGCCAGTGTAACCTGCACTAATAGTACCAGTGTAACCTGCACTCATATTGCCAGTGTAACCTACACTCATAGAGTCAGTGTAACCTGCACTCATAGTGCCAGTGGAACCTGCACTCATACTACCAGTGCAACCTGCACTCATAGTACCAGTGTAACCTGCACTCAAAGTACCAGTGTAACCTGCACTCATAGTACCAGTGTAACATGCACTCATAGTACCAGTGTAACCTGCACTCACAGAGCCAGTGTAACCTGCACTCATGGTGCCAGTGTAACCTGCACTCATAGTGCCAGTGTAACATGCTCTAATAGAGCCAGTTTAACATGCACTCATTGTGCCAGTGTAACCTGCACTCATAGTGTCAAGTAACCTGCACTCATAATGCCAGTGTAACCTGCACTCATAGTGCCAGTGTAACCTGCACTCATAGTACCAGTTTAACCTGCACTCTCAGTGCCAGTGTAACATGCACTCATAGAGCCAGTGTAACCTGCACTCATAGTGTCAAGTAACCTGCACTCATAATGCCAGTGTAACCTGCACTCATAGTGCCAGTGTAACCTGCACTCATAGTACCAGTGTAACCTGCACTCATATTGCCAGTGTAACCTACACTCATAGAGTCAGTGTAACCTGCACTCATAGTGCCAGTGGAACCTGCACTCATACTACCAGTGCAACCTGCACTCATATTGCCAGTGTAACCTACACTCATAGAGTCAGTGTAACCTGCACTCATAGTGCCAGTGGAACCTGCACTCATACTACCAGTGCAACCTGCACTCATAGTACCAGTGTAACCTGCACTCAAAGTACCAGTGTAACCTGCACTCATAGTACCAGTGTAACATGCACTCATAGTACCAGTGTAACCTGCACTCATACTGCCATTGTAACCTGCACTCATAGTACCAGTGTAACATGCACTCATAGTGCCAGTGTAACCTGCACTCATAATGCCAGTGTAACCTGCATTCATAGTGCCAGTGTAACCTGCATTCATAGAGCCAGTGAAACATGCACTCATAGAGTCAGTGTAACCTGCACTCATAGTACCAGTGTAATATGCACTCATAGTATCAGTGTAACCTGCACTCATAGTGCCAGTGGAACCTGCACTCATAGAGCCAGTGTAACATGCACTCATAGAGCCAGTGTAACCTGCACTCATAGTGCCAGTGTAACCTGCACTCATAGTGCCAGTGTAACCTGCACTCATAGTACCAGTGTAACCTTCTCTCACAGAGCCAGTGTAACATGCACTCATATTGCAAATGTAACCTGCACTCATAGTGCCATTGTAACCTGCACTCATAGAGCCAGTGTAACCTGCACTCATAGTACCAGTGTAACTTTCTCTCACAGAGCCAGTGTAACATGCACTCATAGTGCCATTGTAACCTGCACTCATAGTGCCAATGTAACATGCTCTCATGGTGCCAGTGTAACCAGCTATCACAGAGCCAGTGTAACCTGCACTCATAGTGCCAGTGCAACCTGCACTCATAGTACCAGTGTAGCCTGCACTCATAGTGCCAGTGTAACCTGCACTCATAGTACCAGTGTAACCTGCACTCATAGTGCCAGTGTAACATGCACTCATAGTGCCAGTGTAGCCTGCACTCATAGTGCCAGTGTAACCTGCACTCATAGTACCGGTGTAACATGCACTCATAGAGCCAGTGTAACCTGCACTCATAGTACCGGTGTAACATGCACTCATACTGCCAATGTAACCTGCACTCATAGTACCAGTGTAACCTGCACTCATAGTGCCAATGTAACCTGCAGTCATATTGATAGTTGGACCTGCACTTCCAGCTTGACTCGTACAGATTCGAGATGTCATCATTTACATTTGCTACAAATCTCTCTCTTGTACTTTTGTGTTTCAAGCTATGAAAATGCTAAGAATGAGAAGAGGAAGGGGTACATAGGTTGGGAGGAATACTTCATGGCCGTCGCTAAGCTCTCTTCACTGAGAAGCAAAGACCCCAATACACAGGTAAGGAGAGCGCACCTCCATATTGATGAAAACGTCCCATTTCACCTCCAGCTACAATATTTGGAGAGGCTCTATTATGATGAGGTATCAGCGTACAAAATCTGTCGTGTGTATTTAATGCCTCGTGTGAGGATGAACGCCCTAAGTTTTCATAATGGAGCAAAGCTTTTACAGGCGGTAAATTTTAAATTCTAACATCATCAGAACTTTCTATGAACCAGAACTCTAAACATGTACAGGCTACTACATCAATCCTATGTTACATCTTGTGTAACATCTTGTGTTACATCTTGTGTTACATCTTGTAATACATCTCATGTTACATCTTGTATTACATCTTGTGTAACATCTTGTGTTACATCTTGTGTTACATCTCATGTTACATCTTGTATTACATCTTGTGTTACATCTCATGTTACATCTTGTATTACATCTTGTTTTACATCTCATGTTACATCTTGTATTACATCTTGTGATACATCTTGTGTTACATCTTGTCTTACAGCATATGTTTCATCTTGTTTCACATTTTGTGTTACAGGTCGGAGCTTGTATTGTGAACAAAGATAAGAGGATCGTCGGTACCGGTTACAACGGAATGCCCAATAACTGCGGTGATGACGAACTACCGTGGGGCAAGGAAGAAGGTTGGGACAAGAATAAGAAACTTTATGGTATGAGATTTACTATCACAGTAGTCTCCATTAAAGGTGAATGTCATTTAAGCACACTTGATATCACTATTCTCTAAATAACAAATTCATATGAATGCTAACTTTCTTCATGTACTCAATGACAAAATATGACATTTTGAAAAAGAGTATTTTTATTCATTAAGTCCACATAAACACTGTGAGCGAGTGAGTGAGTGAGTGAGTGAGTGAGTGAGTGAGTGAGTGAGTGAGTGAGTGAGTGAGTGAGTGAACAACGAGCCACGCTATCAGGGCATGCTATGGTGGGGTTTTCATGACATGGTGGGCAGAGAGTAGTAGGATTAAGGAGAAAGTGAATTATTGTGAGAAGAAAACAGTTCGAGCCACTTCTTCTTATGAAAGTATTTATGTCCAGTCTGCCACGCTGAGCTGAACGCCATACTGAACAGGTTCTCTGCTGACTTGAAAGACTGCAAGATCTTCGTGACTCTGTTCCCATGTAACCACTGCACCCAGATGATCATTCAGTCTGGAATCCATAAGGTTGTCTACTTGTCAGATGAGAAAAAGGAAAAGGACGAGGTGAAAGCATCAAAGAGACTTCTGGGCATGGCTGGTGTCAAATACAGGTCAGTGATTGTTGTAGAACATATTTACTTTCTTCTTGTACTTGAGTTGAGTTTGAGTCAAGCAGCCTAACTGTCCCGATGAAACGCTATCATGACAAAAAATCATTGCATACGAATATTTGAATACCGTAATAACAATATCATCATTGACAGCTGCAATGTGCATCTAGAATGTAAACATATGTATTTCAGACCATATCGAGGAAAGAGGGACCCAATCGAGATACAGTTGCCTCCAGGTCCTACTGATGATGGTGGAAAGATGGACCCAATCCTGCTATAGTTTGCTGTATGTAATACTGATGTTCGTGGAAAGATGGACCCAATCAAGTTTCATTGTCCGCCAGGCTCCACTGATGTTCGTGGAAAGATGGAACCAATCAAGGAACAGTTGCCTCCAGGTCCCACTGATTGTCAGAGATGGAATGGTTACCTGAACTCAAATCTCATCAATAAGTGTTTCTTTCATCTGGTTAATGAGGGGAACATGTTTACATAACACTGATTTCCAAATCAACAATACATAGTTTAACGATTGATTTGTAGTTCGAGATTTATGATAAGCAAAGTATTTTGGAATGAATTTGTATGTGAACTGCTGTCTTAGATTCATGGGCCACTCACTGTTCAAATTCTTCAAGTTTGTAAAAGATGACGTTTTCTAATGTAACCAGACACAAACGTAACACCTCTTGCTTCTTCGTGCACAGATTTTACTGATTTCTAGCATCCATCCTCCCAATATACTTTGGGTGGAGGTTGTTTTATCTATACGCTTTTACTTATACTTTTACTTATACTTTTACTTATACTTTTACTTATACTTTTACTATCTTAGCGAATACAAGCTGCCCTATGACGCTCGAGCGTGATGATGTTGGTCAAAACCCTCCACTATAAATCAGTTAAGCATGACACAAAAGAAAATATGGAACTTCATAGTAATTATAAAAAGACACTCGACTTTTTGATTGGTTTAAATTGGGTCGTTTAATTTTATTTGTGATAATTCAATTTGATGTAATAATAATTACAAATATCTGCTTAAAGTAGAGTAAAGAGTAGGGTCCACTGTACGGTTCCGACCATGGCTTATCAACGTGTTTATAAATCCTTATCAGCTGCTGTGATACTGTTCCACACAAAGGGAAAGTTGACCACTGGAAAATGGTAGTCCTCCCTCTTTTCAAGCAGTCTTGTGGATAGTTCTTGTCACCCGAATATTCCTGCACAGATGCACATATGAAACAGATGCGGCAGTTCCCCCGACTCAACCTTTCTTCAGATAGACATGTGATAGAGACATTGATTTTCCAGTATACCTGAAATGCCATTTGGTATCTATTTCATCTTTGTCATTCCAAAGTTGACTTAAAATGTAATTGCTATGCTTCATTGAACGTAATTGTCACGCTTCTGTTGTGCAATATGCTTGCATTGTATACACTCTCATCCCCTTCGTATTTCTTGAAAGATAAATAAACAGAATAAAGTAAACTTTCTTGGTCTTGTGTATTATCATGTTGTTAGGGTATGTGAGCTGGACATCGTAACGGCAATATCTGAGGCGTATGAGATCGCCAGCAGCAAGCTCCATCCAAATAAACAAAATGAGGCCTGTGTGACTGTGTCGAACTTAGACTTGAAATATAACATGAAAGGTCAACGCAAGAGAATATCCATGGTCCTGGTTGAATAGGAAATACATTTTTAAAACTCAACAAGAGATTACAGACTGACTGAAGTTTTTAACAAAAGGAATCCCAGTTCTTCATTTCCCGATGTCTGGCGAAAGAGTATTATATGCCTGCTTCACAGGACTGGCAGCGTGCATGATCCAGAAGGTTTTCATCTAAGTGATTCATTGTGTAAAGTGTTAAAAGGTTTGTTAAACCAAAGACGTAAACACTAACATAACACTAATAATATAATATCGAATCGTAAGCGGGCATTCGGTCACATCTATCTGCTATTGACCATACTTTTATTCTTGAGGGTATCACACAAGAAGAGGGTCAGATTGTATTGTCTCTTCATTGACTACTCCAAGGCCTTTGACTGTGTTAAATGTTGAAGTCTCAAGTACATGACAATCATGACGATCTTTTGTAAGTTTATTGTTTCTATGTACTCCAAACTCTCAGCGTGTGTTAGGACGGACACTGGGTTGTCAAACTATTCCAATTGCAAGGGTTAAATTGAGCCTCAAATCTTCACAATATATATCAACATGAAGTGAGTGACTGAGTATGGTTTAACGCCGCGTTAAGCAATATTCCAGCAATATCACGGGCTTCACACATGTCAGGAATCGAACCCGGGTCTTCGGCGTGACGCTTTAACCACTAGGCTACCCGACCGCTCCTATCAACATGGAACTGAAATGGAAGAAAATGGCGGAATGGGTATAATTATGTCCTCGGAAAGTCCTAGTTTTGCCCTATTGTATCGTGATGATGTGGAGAAGTGTCACTCACAATGACAGAACTTCTCAAAGGCTTGGACACCAGGCTTGCCGTCAGAGAGGATACAACACTTATGTTGCACTGAATTTTCTAGGGTGAGAAGTGCTAGGTGGATTGAAAGTGCCTCACCATGGCAAGGTAACCTGGTAACTTGTCTGCCACGTAGCTTTGTGCTAGGCTCAGGCTGGTCATAAAGTATGACCCTTATTTATCGGCCACAAGCTGTCTAGGGACCGGTCATTTCCTACAGGGGAGGATAGGTAACTTGTCTGCCACGTAGCTTTGCGCTAGGCTCAGGCGTGTCACAAAGTATGGCCCTTATTTATCGGTCACAAGCTGTCAAGGGACCGGTCATTTCCTACTGGGGGTGGGGGGTGGGGGGGGGGGGGGGGGGGGGGGGGGTGGGTAACTTGCTAACTTGTCTGCCACGTAGCTTTGCGCTAGGCTCAGGCTTGTCACAAAGTATGACCCTTATTTATCAGCCACAAGCTTTCAAAGGACCGGTCATTTCCTACTGGGGAGGATGGGTAACTTGCTAACTTGTCTGCCACGTAGCTTTGTGCTAGGCTCAGGCTTGGCATAAAGTATGGCCCTTATTTATCGGCCACAAGCTGTCTAGGGACCGGTCATTTCCTACTGGGGAGGATAGGTAACTTGTCTGCCACGTAGGCTTGTCACAAAATATAAAAGCATAACCCTTATTTATCGGTCACAAACTTTCAAGGGACCGGTCATTTCCTACTGGGGGGGGATGGGTAACTTGCTAACTTGTCTGCCACGTAGCTTTGCGCTAGGATCAGGCTTGTCACAAAGTATGACCCTTATTTATCGGTCACAAGCTGTCAAGGGACCGGTCATTTCCTACTGGGGGGGAAGGGTAACTTGCTAACTTGTCTGCCACGTAGCTTTGCGCTAGGATCAGGCTTGTCACAAAGTTTGACCCTTATTTTTTCGGTCACAAGCTTTCTAGGGACCGGTCATTTTCTACAGGGGAGGATGGGTAACTTGCTAACTTGTCTGCCACGTAGCTTTGTGCTAGGCTCAGGCTTGTCACAAAGTATGACCCTTATTTATCGGTCACAAGCTGTCTAGGGACCGGTCATTTCCTACTGGGGGGGGAGGGTAACTTGCTTACTTCTCTGCCACGTAGCTTTGCGCTAGGATCAGGCTTGTCACAAAGTTTGACCCTTATTTATCGGTCACAAGCTGTCTAGGGACCGGTCATTTTCTACAGGGGAGGATGGGTAACCTGGTAACTTGTCTGCCACGTAGCTTTGTGCTAGGCTCAGGCTTGTCACAAAGTATGACCCTTATTTATCGGTCACAAGCTGTCTAGGGACCGGTCATTTTCTACAGGGGAGGATGGGTAACTTGCTAACTTGTCTGCCACGTAGCTTTGTGCTAGGCTCAGGCTTGTCACAAAGTATGACCCTTATTTATCGGTCACAAGCTGTCTAGGGACCAGTCATTTTCTACAGGGGAGGATGGGTAACTTGCTAACTTGCTGCCACGTAGCTTTGTGCTAGGCTCAGGCTTGTCACAAAGTATGACCCTTATTTATCGGTCACAAGCTGTCTAGGGACCGGTCATTTCCTACTGGGGGGGATGGGTAACTTGCTAACTTGTCTGCCACGTAGCTTTGCGCTAGGTTCCGGCTTGTCACAAAGTATGACCCTTATTTATTGGCCACAAGCTGTCTAGGGACCGGTCATTTCCTACTGGGGAGGATGGGTAACCTGGTAACTTGTCTTCCACGTAGCTTTGCGCTAGGCTCAGGCGTGTCACAAAGTATGACCCTTATTTATCATCCACAAGCTGTCTAGGGACCGGTCATTTCCTACTGGGGGGGATGGGTAACTTGCTAACTTCTCTGCCACGTAGCTTTGCGCTAGGATCAGGCTTGTCACAAAGTATGACCCTTATTTATCGGTCACAAGCTGTCTAGGGACCGGTCATTTCCTACTGGGGAGGATGGGTAGTTTGGTAACTTGTCTGCCACGTAGCTTTGCGCTAGGCTCAGGCTTGTCACAAAGTATGACCCTTATTTATCAGCCACCAGCTTTCTAGGGACCGGTCATTTCCTACTGGGAGGATGGGTAGCTTCCTAACTTGTCTGCCACGTAGCTTTGCGCTAGGCACATGCTTGTCACAAAGTATGACCCTTATTGATCGGTCACAAGCTGTCTAGGGACCGGTCATTTCCTACTGGGGGGGATGGGTAACTTGCTAACTTGTCTGCCACGTAGCTTTGCGCTAGGCTCAGGCTTGTCACAAAGTATGACCCTTATTTATCAGCCACAAGCTTTCAAGGGACCTGTCATTTCCTACAGGGGAGGATGGGTAACTTGCTAACTTGTCTGCTACGTAGCTTTGCGCTAGGATCAGGCTTGTCACAAAGTATGACCCTTATTTATCAGCCACAAGCTTTCAAGGGACCGGTCATTTCCTACAGGGGAGGATGGGTAACTTGCTAACTTGTCTGCCACGTAGCTTTGCGCTAGGATCAGGCTTATCACAAAGTATGACCCTTATTTATCGGTCACAAGCTGTCAAGGGACCGGTCATTTCCAACTTGGGGGGATGGGTAACTTGCTAACTTGTCTGCCACGTAGCTTTGTGCTAGGCTCAGGCTTGTCACAAAGTATGACCCTTATTTATCAGCCACAAGCTGTCTAGGGACCGGTCATTTCCTACAGGGGAGGATGGGTAACTTGCTAACTTGTCTGCCACGTAGCTTTGCGCTAGGCTCAGGCTTGTCACAAAGTATGACCCTTATTTATCGGTCACAAGCTGTCTAGGGACCGGTCATTTCCTACTGGGGGGGAAGGGTAACTTGCTAACTTGTCTGCCACGTAGCTTTGCGCTAGGATCAGGCTTGTCACAAAGTTTGACCCTTATTTTTTCGGTCACAAGCTTTCTAGGGACCGGTCATTTTCTACAGGGGAGGATGGGTAACTTGGTAACTTGTCTGCCACGTAGCTTTGTGCTAGGCTCAGGCTTGTCACAAAGTATGACCCTTATTTATCGGTCACAAGCTGTCTAGGGACTGGTCATTTCCTACTGGGGGGGAAGGGTAACTTGCTAACTTCTCTGCCACGTAGCTTTGCGCTAGGATCAGGCTTGTCACAAAGTTTGACCCTTATTTATCGGTCACAAGCTGTCTAGGGACCGGTCATTTTCTACAGGGGAGGATGGGTAACCTGGTAACTTGTCTGCCACGTAGCTTTGTGCTAGGCTCAGGCTTGTCACAAAGTATGACCCTAATTTATCGGTCACAAGCTGTCTAGGGACCGGTCATTTTCTACAGGGGAGGATGGGTAACTTGCTAACTTGTCTGCCACGTAGCTTTGTGCTAGGCTCAGGCTTGTCACAAAGTATGACCCTTATTTATCGGTCACAAGCTGTCTAGGGACCAGTCATTTTCTACAGGGGAGGATGGGTAACTTGCTAACTTGCTGCCACGTAGCTTTGTGCTAGGCTCAGGCTTGTCACAAAGTATGACCCTTATTTATCGGTCACAAGCTGTCTAGGGACCGGTCATTTCCTACTGGGGGGGGATGGGTAACTTGCTAACTTGTCTGCCACGTAGCTTTGCGCTAGGTTCCGGCTTGTCACAAAGTATGACCCTTATTTATTGGCCACAAGCTGTCTAGGGACCGGTCATTTCCTACTGGGGAGGATGGGTAACCTGGTAACTTGTCTTCCACGTAGCTTTGCGCTAGGCTCAGGCGTGTCACAAAGTATGACCCTTATTTATCATCCACAAGCTGTCTAGGGACCGGTCATTTCCTACTGGGGGGGATGGGTAACCTGGTAACTTCTCTGCCACGTAGCTTTGCGCTAGGATCAGGCTTGTCACAAAGTATGACCCTTATTTATCGGTCACAAGCTGTCTAGGGACCGGTCATTTCCTACTGGGGAGGATGGGTAGTTTGGTAACTTGTCTGCCACGTAGCTTTGCGCTAGGCTCAGGCTTGTCACAAAGTATGACCCTTATTTATCAGCCACAAGCTTTCTAGGGACCGGTCATTTCCTACTGGGAGGATGGGTAGCTTGCTAACTTGTCTGCCACGTAGCTTTGCGCTAGGCACATGCTTGTCACAAAGTATGACCCTTATTGATCGGTCACAAGCTGTCCAGGGACCGGTCATTTCCTACTGGGGGGGATGGGTAACTTGCTAACTTGTCTGCCACGTAGCTTTGCGCTATGCTCAGGCTTGTCACAAAGTATGACCCTTATTTATCGGTCACAAGCTGTCTAGGGACCGGTCATTTCCTACTGGGGAGGATGGGTAGTTTGGTAACTTGTCTGCCACGTAGCTTTGCGCTAGGCTCAGGCTTGTCACAAAGTATGACCCTTATTTATCAGCCACAAGCTTTCAAGGGACCGGTCATTTCCTACAGGGGAGGATGGGTAACTTGCTAACTTGTCTGCCACGTAGCTTTGCGCTAGGATCAGGCTTGTCACAAAGTATGACCCTTATTTATCGGTCACAAGCTGTCAAGGGACCGGTCATTTCCAACTTGGGGGGATGGGTAACTTGCTAACTTGTCTGCCACGTAGCTTTGTGCTAGGCTCAGGCTTGTCACAAAGTATGACCCTTATTTATCAGCCACAAGCTGTCTAGGGACCGGTCATTTCCTACAGGGGAGGATGGGTAACTTGCTAACTTGTCTGCCACGTAGCTTTGCGCTAGGCTCAGGCTTGTCACAAAGTATGACCCTTATTTATCGGTCACAAGCTGTCTAGGGACCGGTCATTTCCTACTGGGGAGGATGGGTAGTTTGGTAACTTGTCTGCCACGTAGCTTTGCGCTAGGATCAGGCTTGTCACAGTGAGTGAGTGAGTGAGTATGTTTTTACGCCGCTTTTAGCAATATTCCAGCAATATAACGGCGGGAGACACCAGATGTGGGCTTCACACATTGTACCCATGTCGGGAATCTAAACCGGGTCTTCGGCGTGACGAGCGAACGCTTTAACCACTAGGCTACCCGACCGCCCCTCAGGCTTGTCACAAAGTATGACCCTTATTTATCAGCCACAAGCTGTCCAGGGACCGGTCATTTCCTACGGGGGGGGATGGGTAACTGGCTAACTTGTCTGCCACGTAGCTTTGCGCTAGGTTCCGGCTTGTCACAAAGTATGACCCTTATTTATCAGCCACAAGCTGTCTAGGGACCGGTCATTTCCTACTGGGGAGGATAGGTAACTTGTCTGCCACGTAGCTTTGCGCTAGGCTCAGGCTTGTCACAAAGTATGACCCTTATTTATCGGCCACAAGCTGTCTAGGGACCGGTCATTTCCTACTGGGGAGGATGGGTAACTTCCTAACTTGTCTGCCACGTAGCTTTGCGCTAGGCTCAGGCTTGTCATAAAGTATGGCCTTTATTTATCGGCCACAAGCTGTCTAGGGACCGGTCATTTCCTACTGGGGGGGGATGGGTAACTTGCTAACTTGTCTGCCACGTAGCTTTGCGCTAGGATCAGGCTTGTCATAAAGTTTGACCCTTATTTATCGGTCACAAGCTGTCTAGGGACCGGTCATTTTCTACAGGGGAGGATGGGTAACCTGGTAACTTGTCTGCCACGTAGCTTTGTGCTAGGCTCAGGCTTGTCACAAAGTATGACCCTAATTTATCGGTCACAAGCTGTCTAGGGACCGGTCATTTTCTACAGGGGAGGATGGGTAACTTGCTAACTTGTCTGCCACGTAGCTTTGTGCTAGGCTCAGGCTTGTCACAAAGTATGACCCTTATTTATCGGTCACAAGCTGTCTAGGGACCAGTCATTTTCTACAGGGGAGGATGGGTAACTTGCTAACTTGCTGCCACGTAGCTTTGTGCTAGGCTCAGGCTTGTCACAAAGTATGACCCTTATTTATCGGTCACAAGCTGTCTAGGGACCGGTCATTTCCTACTGGGGGGGATTGGTAACTTGCTAACTTGTCTGCCACGTAGCTTTGCGCTAGGTTCCGGCTTGTCACAAAGTATGACCCTTATTTATTGGCCACAAGCTGTCTAGGGACCGGTCATTTCCTACTGGGGAGGATGGGTAACCTGGTAACTTGTAAGGCAGGGCGGGACAACTTAGGAATGGCCAGGAGTCCGAACTTGACCACACAGAAGGAAGCGAGCTACAAAAACATGTTTTATATCATTGGAAAGCTCTCGAGGAGTCGAATCCAAATAATGTGTGTCCCAGTGTGTTCACATGTTCACAAGCTCAAAAATTGGCTCAGAAAATGCATTACTGCAGAAATTTCTGGCCGAATTTTTTTTTTCCGCAGAAATTTCTGGCAGTATTTTTTTTTTCTACAGAAATTTCTGGCCGAATTTTTTTTTTTCTACAGAAATTTCTGGCCGAATTTTTTTCTGCAGTAATATTATTGCAGAATTATTCTAATTCAGGAGAAATAAGATTCAATCATTGGATAGTTTAACCTGGAGTTGCTTCAAATGACCTTTTTCCTCAAAACAAACATTTTTAGTTCACATGATTACAATCTTTGGAAAGTTTAAATTGAATTCAGCAATTGAAGATATCTATCTTGGTATTATATTTACCAAATTTATCAAGAAAAGTTGACGTCACTCGAATTAAACAATGGAACAACATGTTGGCCTCATACCTTGACCATCTTCAATGGCCTTTTGACGACTTTGAAGTGTACAACATTAAAGGTGAATGTGATTCTCAGAAATTTCTGGCAGTATTTTTTTTTCTACAGAAATTTCTGGCAGAATTATTTTTTTCTACAGAAATTTCTGGCAGAATTTTTTTCTGCAGTAATTTCAACCATCAATCTTTGGAAAGTTTAAATTGAATTCAGCAATTGAAGATATTTATCTTGGTATTATATTTACCAAATTTATCAAGAAAAGTTGACGTCACTCGAATTAAACAATGGACCAACATGTTGGCCTCATACCTTTGTATACTAGACAGATGCAAATCATTGAACCTTGAGCTTACCCTATAATTATCTTAATTATTATGAGAATTTCAGTGACCATCTTCAATGGCCTTTTGACGACTTTGAAGTGTACAACAATAAAGGTGAATGTGATTCTCAAAAAATAAATTTCATAATTATTCCATGGGGCCAACCAAATATATAATCCCCGGTTGGAATTCAAAGAAACAACCTACATGTGATATACGGTACTCTGAAAGTAGTTTAACTTCAGACATGGAAAAAAATAGAACACAACCAAGATTTTACAATATAACTGCATATATTGTTTCATAAATTTCATTGTGCACATCTCATCTTATATATGTATATATATATACAATTCTAAATACACAGCTTTACTAAGAAACAAAAACATACAAAGTACAAAACTCCTGCAATGCAATCCTCGGCAATATCTCAGCCACATAGCTTAGACAAAAAATATGTTCATTTCAGCAAAACTTGCTGCTCCTTCTTTATTGTTCTGATACTGACGCTTGTCTTCGGTGCTTTGTCAGAGTGATCTGAAAGTAAAGAAAAAAAATGTAAAGAATATGAGAACATAATTAAAATCACAGTGCATCTATACAATAAAAGCAAAAATAGTAACCTCATGAAGTTGGGTTGTTTCTCTGCCCACATTACACATATTCTAAGTAACGCTGACTAACCCTAATATTACACATCACAATACATATTTCAAAGAAATTGCAATATTTATTGAAATTACCTTTGATTTTTTTTGCAGTTTTTCATTGTTCTTCTCTATTGCCTCTTGAACTTTAGTTGGGAGGGTTGTCGCTTCCCTTGGGGCAGGCATGAAGGGCTTGGTGGTGGGTGTGCGGATGTCCCCAATCTTGAAGGAGGGCATCGCGGGTTGTTGCAGGCTTCTGTCTAAGTTCCCTTGCAAATACACTAAACGGTTGATCCACATCTTCATGCGTGTTCCCCACCATGAGAAAGAAAGTTTCACCTGAAAATAGTATTTACATCAGTATTATCACTATGAAAACAAATCAAATTGTACAAAACTTGTTTATTTTTACAGAATACTGATTTGAATATTGAGAATATTGAGAGAAAAATCAATCTTGTGCATTTAAAAAGTTTCAACATTGTGTGCAGATTCTTTTATACTTAGGATGAGCAACTGGACATGAAATACTTGCTTCAAAACAATTCTAATGTGGTTTAAAACAATTTACATAAATTATAAAAATATTAACCACATGTGACTTCAGCATTTACTTTGAATTGTATAGTATAGCCTCAAGGAATAAATATGCTATACATGATATTGTATGTGGAGTCATATACCAATACTTCATTGATAACTATCTTCATGATAGCACTAAAAGTGATACCTTGGATTGCAGCGTCCACTTTTGACTGGCCGACAAAGTCTTGCAGCTTTACTGGTCCTGGAAATGTCAAATAAATATTTGAACAATACATAAATTGCAACTTTAATGTAATTGGATAGTCATACAAACATAACAATTGCCAATTTCCATTCTCAAATATCCAGAATTCCTCCAAAATTAGACAAGCCTACCAGACAAACATTGAATTTATTCAACAGGCCCGTACCAAGCATTTAGCTAAGACAAAGATAAATTTCTATCCTTCTAAACGTGTGTTACAAATATAATGTACAAACAAATGTCTTGACATACATGGCACGATCCCATTACAAAACAAATCCCATTACATCCTTTACTAATAATATTGGACAAACTACAATAACGTAACCCATATATGTGCACTGTGGATACTAAGCTCCACAGGTTTCGAAATAAGAATCTACATAACTCCCTACCAATAGGATATGTAGACAGTAATATATGTTTTGGTTTGGTTTGTTGTTTACTGCCGCATTTAGCAATATTCCACCTATATGACAGCGGTCTGTAATTAATCGAATCTGGACCAGACATTTCAGAGATTCATATCATGAGCATCAATGCAAGTCAGCGAGCCTGACCACGCGATACTGTTAGTCGCCTCTTAAGACAAGCATAGAATTCACTGGAAACTGGAAAGGAAATATCACAAAAAGACATGTTGTGCTTGGATACCAATAACACAATAATGACCCATTAAATCTTATAATTATTCGGCAACAATGCAGTTTATGCGTTCAATTACAGCGCTATAGTGCCACGCTGTCTCGTTATACCGTTACCGTGCCTCACGCTCTGGTGACTCTCGCTTCACGATCCAACACCCGTTTTCGGTCTTAGGGAAACTTACACATCTTTACAATCAAACACCCATTCTCGGTCTTAGGGAAACTTACACATCTTTACGATCAAACACCCGTTCTAGGTCTTAGGGAAACTTACACGTCTTTACGATCCAACATATGTTCATAAAGAAACCATGATCCAAACAGAAGGCAAAGGTTCTTCAAGATATATACAGTGTTTGGTGTACAAAAATAGAATAAAATGCCTTACCCATGTCAACGTTGTTGAAGCAGAGCTGGTGAACCCTCCTCAAGGCATCCAGAGCTTCTCACTGCGACCAGAACTTGGGTTTTCGATGTGATTTACCGACTGGTTGAATAGTTATCGTTTGATCGTCTGACAGAACGTTCTCGACGATTTAACGATATTTAACGATACCTGATTAGGGTTAAATCTATATATACCATTTCTATGGTCGGGCGTCCACGGCTGATTGGTATATCAAATCAAACACAAGGGTGTACATCATGCCCCTGAGTGTTCACGCCTCACTGGGTGGTCACGTAATAAGGTGTGGCACCAGCATCTCGGGTTACAATTTGATATTAATTCAAGTACTCCACTGATAATGTACATAGGTAGTTAACTTAATTACATTCAGTTTTGTCCGACAAGGAGCGAGTTTACTTTTTTTTAGACATAGACTTTGTAACAGGCTCTTCCCCTGGAAACACATATATTGTAAATAAATATTTTGCCATTTCCATCAACCTTATCACGTGATGTTCTATAACTGTTGTCTTGTACACTATCCATAGTGTAAGTCAGCTGGCTCGAGGAATTTTCATATAGTATTATCATTAAACAACATACCCTATGCAACAGTTATGTTGCTACCCAGACAAAACTATTTTTATATTCTATGTTAAATGTAAACGATCAGTTTTTATTATAAATACAAAACCACCTTTTAAGCGGTAATACCTATCACGCATTAAACAACATATATGAACAACCATGTGATTATAAAGTCTCACGTTGGTTCCTCCGTGCAACTTCATGCCTGACTTACATTCATATTGTTCTTTCACCACACTTACGCTTCTCCAAATTTAGAAAGAAGCTGTGTACACAGTGTTCTTGCGAGTTACAATAACGCGTCCCGGTTTGGCTGCAACTTCAAAGAGTGGACATATGGTTGCTCCTTCAGGTAGCTATAATTACCCTCTCCATAATGCAATATCGTATTATCCATTTGTAATGAATGATAGTAACACTAAATCGGATTGGATTCAGTTAAATCTACATTTCTCAAGGTCTCTAACATCGAGATTTGAAATATCTTTCATGTAAATACCTTCTTTGTCATGTGACTTGTATATATTCGTGTATATTCAGAATCGTACCTACGCACAATGTCTTTGCACAATGGCACAAGCAACGTGGTCTCTTTCTGTAAAACATAGCACTCTTTATTTCAGCCACAGCAAAGATCCCGAACCACGTGCAGTCAGCAGAGTTACAGCGTCTGGTTACCGTCTTGCAGTTACGATACAGGTAAGACGTCAAAATATTTATTGTTTTATTTCTGGAAACGCCGACCCTAAAACGTGGAATTTTGGTAACACGGTTATTTCATATAACAACAACCAAATAACAACCTGTACTCCAAACAGTGAATGTTTGGCTCTGCTGCCGTGCGAAACGCGTTTTGTAAGAGTCTAATTTTAGTGTATTTATTTCTACCACTTTTGATAAAAAAAATACGCAAACAATCTAATCTGAAAAGGAGATATCTCCATCCCCTATGGTGTTAATGCGACTTGTATACTGTCTACATGTACATTAGGCAACTTATTGTAGCTGTATGGCGACACTTGTAGTGTAGCTATGTGACCATGAATTTGCCTGTGGTGATCAGTGAAAACACGGAAAATTACAAAATACCAATCCATGCAGTATTTTGATAATTTACATGCGAGTTTTCTATTATTTATAACGTTAGAAATATTTAGATAAAAATAACTTTATAGACCCAATGTTTATTAATATAACAAATTGTTGTAGTAATGTTTTCCTAAAATAAACATATATATCATCTTCTCATATTGCCCAATCAAAGCTGGTGCTGAGACAATTTAGAATACCCAAACGACGCATATTTTTACGTGCCGTGCCGCCAGACTTCCTGCCAACTTGGCAATTAAATATCCTCGGGTATTGTCACTTCATACGGTGATACATTGTCTCGCGCACGTGGTCGGTGGGTATTGTCTATCAGCGCCACGATCACGTGATCGTTTTGTTAATTACTCTGTGTTACGGTCTCGCCGATTCTAAACTTTCAAAGCCTTCAATAAAATTTATGAGATCATTATCTTATCTTTATTCCGACTGAATCCACCTTTATTTCAGACGCCCCCTCACACACACACTCCCAGTGCAAATTCACTGAAGCTTGACCGTTACCAATTAACAGCTGTCAATTAAACAGTTCGCATCTAAGTAGTATGTTATCGAATATATTGAAAACCTTAAGCGTGCTACCTGGGGGGGGGGGGGGGGGGGGTTGGTAAAGGAGGGTGTTGGTTGTTCACAGGGTCACTCGACAATCACTATGTATACGGGTATTTCAATAATTGTATGATATATTTAGTCCTTGGGCAGCCCCAATCTAAAAACAACAATAAAATCCTAACTCTCACCGACTCTCTTAGTGGACTAAAAGCCCTCCAAAACAAAAATACCAAAAAACGACCTAAATTAATAAACCAAATACTTAAAAGCTACGACGACCTAAAAAAAGCAAACAAACAAATAACCTTCTTGTGGATCCCCGCCCACGTAGGAATTTACGGCAACGAAAGCGCCGATAAAGCAGCTAAATTATCTCTCAAATTACCAGTAATAAGCCTAAACCTACCCATCTCAAAATCAGAAATTAAAAGTGTAAACAAACAAAAAATAACCAAAAAATGGCATAATCAATATCAAAACTCAAATAGCCAAATCAAAAAAGTGCTCAGAAAACCACTAGCCAAACCTAAAATCCTACACCTCTCTAAAAAAGTTGACAGATTTATTACAAAACTCCAAACAGGACACACGAACCTAAATAACCACCTAAAAAAACTTAAAAGACACACCACAGGAAACTGCCCCCACTGCAAACAACCCGAAACCACAGAACACGCACTCATCCACTGCACCCACTACCAAACACACAGAACCACGCTACAAACCACCCTCAATCTAAATAAGTTTCCTACTCTAGATGAAATACTAAACCCTCAAAATAAACTAGAAAACTTCAAGGCCCTAGGCGTATTCCTAATCAAAACAGACCATATTAAGCGCATCTAAAAACTAATTAATCTACCAATCCAAAATCCAATAAACATACAAACACCCACCTCACCCGGCTCCCTTAGTTCCCTCCTCCACCCACCTCGGCATTTATTCCAAATTTAAAAATTCCAAAACTTCAATATAAGCAACCCCTAAAAGCCCCCTCTTGGGTTGCACACATCACTTTCACCCTATTCGGAATACAATAAATGGTCCGGCCAGGCCCGTGTGCGAAATACGCTACAGTCGGAAAGCGCACGTTAAATCTCCTATATCAGTCAGTCAGACCCCAGTGTTTCATATCATTTTCCCACCAAACTAAAAAAGAATAACCCCCCAACTGGATATGTCAAGCGAACTAATTTTCGTTTCGTCTGTCGATTCATATTTTGGAAATTCAAGGGGAACCACTCCGGCTTATGCAGCACACACATTTGGGAAGGTTGCTTCAATAATAATAATACTTCTTACCATGGTTTCACAGTCGTTAGGAACTTTTTTAAGATCTGACACCAGATTATGCTGTCCGAAAATTTATCTATTTTTTTTAGTGGAGACAGGCCTATCGGAAATTCGAACTTGAACAGCAACTCCAAAACCACATTCCGCCGCAGTGACCAGCTGCTGATGACATAGACTAGGCTAGCTTTACACTAAGTCTTATACCAAACTGGCCCCTCTGGGTAGTAGGTCTGGTCTCTCCTTTGTCCTTGGACCCCCTTTCCGATCATAAGGTTTGAGTACCCCTTGCCAATGAAACACGTGCTACCATCCTTTTACCTTAGCGCACCCATTTACGACACATGGGGTTAGTTTTGAGTTCGGTTATGGTTTAGAAGTCTCTTGATATAAACATATTTATTTCCATAAAGGGGAGGGATTGGCAAACAAGCAAATTTTGCTTATCTGAATGCCTCTCCCAAACATGATACATAAGTCTCTTTTAACGAATTAATCCAATTTAATTTTCGCAGTATACTCATCCTTATATAATTTCAGCTTCATGACAGTGTGAACATTGAGTGCCCCCTACACAAGTATGCAGTCACTGACAACTGATGGAGTGACCTATACAAAACGGAAGATGCAGACGACTAGTACAAGCACGCACACGCACACACACTCACACGCACGCACGCACATGCTATATAAGTGCAATTATCTTGGACGCGACATTCTCTTCAATTTCAACTCACCTCACTTATCTTACTTTGTTCATGTGCCTAAAGCTTGTGGAATGTGTTAATTACTGAAATGAAAAGCATTTTAATGTTTTTTTCATATCTTTTCAGAATATGTGCACATAGCTTTCAATGACTAGACGAAAAAAAGAATTCATTTCAAGTATGTTGAGAAGAAAACGTAAGTAAAGCACACTATTTACATTCATAATACATTTTATTCCGCAGGCTCTATTGTAAAGTTAAACTCTAGCTGCGTATAGGCTGCCATTTCTCCATTATATTAGACAATATGGATCCACTCATCTATACATCTATTTTCTTTTGTGACAGGACCCATCTCTGAAAAAATCACCTCACCCAAGAAAATACGACTCATTCATGAGAATGAAAAGTGCAAAGTCTCCCAAGGAATTGTCTTGTAATATAGCATGTGAATAAATAATTTTTTGAAATATCTCACGAAATTAGTTTTATTTTATTGCTTGTAATCATGAGAACTAAAAATGTTTGTTTTGAGGAAAAAGGTCATTTGAAGCAACTCCAGGTTAAACTATCCAATGATTGAATCTTATTTCTCCTGAATTAAAATAATTCTGCTAAATATTACTGCAGAAAAAAATTCGGCCAAAAATTTCTGTAGAAAAAAAAAAATTCGGCCAGAAATTTCTGTAGAAAAAAAAAATACTGCCAGAAATTTCTGCGGAAAAAAAAAATTCGGCCAGAAATTTCTGCAGTAATGCATTTTCTGAGCCAATTTTTTAGCTTATGAACATGTGAACACACTGGGACACACATTATTTGGATTCGTCTCCTCGAGAGCTTTCCAGTGATATAAAACATGTTTTTGTAGCTCGCTTCCTTCTGTGTGGTCAAGTTCGGACTCCTGGCCATTCCTAAGTTGTCCCGCCCTGCCTTTTGTCTTCCACGTAGCTTTGCGCTAGGCTCAGGCGTGTCACAAAGTATGACCCTTATTTATCATCCACAAGCTGTCTAGGGACCGGTCATTTCCTACTGGGGGGGATGGGTAACTTGCTAACTTCTCTGCCACGTAGCTTTGCGCTAGGATCAGGCTTGTCACAAAGTATGACCCTTATTTATCATCCACAAGCTGTCTAGTGACCGGTCATTTACTACTGGGGAGGATGGGTAACCTGGTAACTTGTCTGCCACGTAGCTTTGCGCTAGACTCAGGCTTGTCACAAAGTATAACCCTTATTTATCGGTCACAAGCTGTCTAGGGACCCGTCATTTACTACTGGGGAGGATGGGTAACTTGCTAACTTGTCTGCCACGTAGCTTTGCGCTAGGCTCAGGCTTGTCACAAAGTATGACCCTTATTTATCGGTCACAAACTGTCTAGGGACCGGTCATTTTCTACAGGGGAGGATGGCTGTCAGAGCTTGTATCATAAACGTCTGTGATGAGTCGTACAGTTGCTACTGTAATGGTGTCTTGAGTGAACTGCTTTCTGACTTCAAGTGGGTAGGCTGTTCTGACATTCAAGACTGTGTGAGACAAGAATCAGCACCATTTTACAAATCTTAGAATTAGCAATATTTCTCTTGTCATTCGTAAATAATATGACCAGATCGACTTATTTTGATTGAAGTGACCATAACACAGTGCTTTAGATGTCGTATTTCTCTATTATCAATATTCCAGAATATTTCTGTTACATACCTTTATACTACCGACGAGAATTAAGGGAAGTAATGATGTGAATGTAGCTGTCGTTGAGGTGCACATTTACAATACATCGGAACACCCCCTTTTATCACTGTAGGGGCGGTCGGGTAGCCTAGTGGTTAAAGCGTTCACTCGTCACGCCGAATACCCGGGTTCGATGGGTACAGTGTGTGAAGCCCATTTCTGTTGTCCCCCGTCGTGATATTGCTAGAATATTGCTAAAAGCGGCGTAAAACCACACTCACTCACTCACTCTTATCACTATGAAATTCACATCATGCATCACCAAGACGCAATGCACACAGAAGCCAATAAGTGTGGACAATAGGGGAACTCTCAATAACTAATGCAACTGGGCTAAGCACACGCTTAAAAATGCCTCGGAGTTTCTCAATCAACAGACACAATGGCGAATTGTGGGTACGATAGAGGGAGGCGTCAATATCACAGGTTGCCCGAATGTTTCGCGAATCAAAAAGTGTGATTTCTCAACTTTGAGACAAATTCCGTCCCATGTCATTAATTGCACTACGCAATGGATTCAGATCTACACCTGTTATCAATAGAGAATTCCGCACAATAGATGAAGGTGAACACCGTCTCTATACAGCTGCCTGAAAACAAGGCGTCCTGTGAAGGGGGTGACCCTAGCAGCATACCGTTGGCGGCAAAGATTGGGGCAGGCCAGGCAACACCAGGGACGGACTGTGCGCCAATGTCGCGCACCATGTTTACAGGCGAATCAAGGTTTTGCCTCCATTTCATAGATGGCAGAACACGTTGTTGGCGACGTAGCAGTGAGCGGTATGCCAGAGCAACAATTCTTGACCATGATCGATGTGGGCGTTGTGTCGTTGTTCTACTCGCTAGATTTATTGGCAGAAATTTTGAACTGCAAGAAGACAATGCAAGACCAGATCGTGCTCAGGTCGTCACCGGTTGTCTCCGAAAAGAAGGCATACGTACATTGGTCTTAACATGAGAGATGGGATGCTCGGGCAGAGTACTCTTCAGGCGGAATGGCGGTCAATACCAAGGGCAGCTGTACGCAAATTCATCAACAGTATGCCATCAAGGTGTCGTGCATGTATCGCCCTACATGGTGGACACAAAAGAAATTGATCTACAGACCAGACATTTATTTTATAGACATGTCATAATATAATTATAGGCAAGGGGAACACAAATTAACATAGAGGGTACAGCAAAGCGAAGGACCGGTGGAGCGTACATCAACCCATATCACCTGACGTTCCCGTGGACAATGAATGTATCTCACCGCACACCCAAAGGGTAGGGGACCATAGACTAACATAGAGAGTACATCAACGCATATCATAAGAGGGTCCCGTGGACAAGGAATGTATCTCACCGCACACCAAAAAGCTAGGGGAATATAGACTAACATAGAGAGTACATCAACGCATATCATAAGAGGGTCCCGCGGACAAGGAATGTATCTCACCGCACACCCAAAGGGTAGGGGACCATAGACTAACATAGAGGGTACATCAACCCTTATCACCCGAGGGTCCCGTGGACAAGGAATGTATCTCACCGCACACCCAAAGGGTAGGGGACCATAGACTAACATAGAGGGTACATCAACCCTTATCACCCGAGGGTCCCGTGGACAAGGAATGTATCTCACCGCACACCCAAAGGGTAGGGGACCATAGACTAACATAGAGAGTACATCAACCCTTATCACCCGAGGATCCCGCGGACAAGGAATGTATCTCACCGGACACCCAAAGGGTAGGGGACCATAGACTAACATAGAGGGTACATCAACCCATATCACCCGAGGGTCCCGTGGACAAGGAATGTATCTCACCGCACACCCAAAAGCTAGGGGAATATAGACTAACATAGAGAGTACATCAACGCATATCATAAGAGGGTCCCGTGGACAAGGAATGTATCTCACCGCACACCTAAAGGTAGGGGAATATAGACTAACATAGAGAGTACATCAACGCATATCATAAGAGGGTCCCGCGGACAAGGAATGTATCTCACCGCACACCCAAAGGGTAGGGGACCATAGACTAACATAGAGGGTACATCAACCCTTATCACCCGAGGGTCCCGCGGACAAGGAATGTATCTCACCGCACACCCAAAGGCTAGGGGAACATAGACTAACATAGAGGATACATCAACGCATGTCCCTCTCGAGACTCGTGAACAACTTATATTGTTACAAACAACCCTTGCATGTCGACAACACTATATGTTGATAATGACACACTTCTACTGTTTCTTTGTGAACTTTGCCTTCAGCAGAAACAGCTCCACCCTTTCCAGGAACTGTAAGCAAAAGTAAACATAACCTAGGTCACGTGACGTCATGTTGATCAATTGTTGAGACGATCAGCGGAAAGAGCTCCACCCTTTCCAGGAACTGTGGGCAAAAGTAAACATAACCTAGGTCACGTGACGTCATGTATATCAATTGTTGAGACAATCAGCAGAAAGAGCTCCACCCTTTCCAGGAACTGTAATTAAAATGAAACTAAAACTACATCACGTTTTCAACAAAAGACAACAGTGGGCTGTGGAGAATTCTCGCCAGATAACCGGCCTCACCTGTTTCATATTTAGATCTATGCATAAATATTCAGAGTGATAAAACAAACTCCACAAGACTATATGACAAGAGGGTTGATTTCAACTAACCACGAGTCAACGTTAGCAGATAAAGGTAGTTTAGACCAGATCATGCAATAGATGCGCCTTTGAAAGCGGCTGATCTGCATTGGCTGATGGTTCACACGAACGTTACTGAAAGGGTTGTCGCCAAATACATGAAAAGACACAAGGCGTGTAAAGAAAGTGTATCATTCCAAATTTGTACAAATGAATTGTTTATTCGATATGGAGCGTTATTATTATTAAATAAATACAGATTTCGAGTGAAAATTGTTTTAAAGTAGACATAGGGAGGACATTTCCAAATTTGATGCATTAGTGACAAAAATTATGTCCATGCAATTCCCTATTTTGACTTGTACCATATGTAATCCTGTTTTTTCAGGTGAACGACTGAGTTGCCTTTGGTTGTGTTTGTGACGGGTGCCACCGGTGGGGCAACATAGGCTGACGTTTTTGTGCGGGATCGGGTGGTCAGACTCGATTATTTACAGACCGCCGTCATATAGCTGGAATATTGCTGAGTGCGGCGTTAAACAAATAAACAAACAAAACGGTTCTGTTTTGTTTGTTTTGTTTTTTGGGTTTTTTTTTCTGTGTTTTTTTTTTTTGGAGGGGGGGGGGGGGGGGGGGAGGGCATCACTATTTTACAATGATTGATAAACATATGTTTGTGGTCAAGTAGGAAATTCGTGCAATGGCCTCTGCTTTTATTACAGATTTCTTTTGATTATATGTATTATGTATATGTATTAAAGACATTTGCTGTAAAAGATTTAATCTCAGTTCAGTAGAAATATATCAGCATCTCATTATATATGCACCATTCTTGTTTTGTTTCATTCTGATTGTCCGGGTTCTTTTTTATATCTGATAAATGTTTTCGTTGTTTGTTAATTGAATATTGATGTTGATTGCCATAAGTGGTGTTATAGGGACTGACAATTGGAACATTTTGTACACATTCTTACATCAAAATAAGAGTCACCCCGAGGGTACGAAGACTATTTGCTAATCGTGGATTATTTGTTGTCATGAAATAAAAACAGGCAGTCTTTAAATGAGTTCAATCTAGACAGATATTAAGTATTTTACAATACAGCAGAACTTTTT